TTGCCTCCCAACAAGCGCTATCGTTTTACGCCCCTAGCCAGGCATAACGCGTAGGGTCTAAGTTTTGTCACCCTTATCCTTGTTTTCCTTGGAGGTATTTGTGTCTGGAGGTTTTGTAAATAAAACATAGAACACATTATCCATGGAAACCTTAGCACTATCAAGTTGCTTTTTATCATAACCCCTTTGATTTCCGGCAGTGATCCAAGAATAGTGTTGATTAACATTGTTAAAAACTTGTTGGATCATATCTAAAACGGGGACTTGCCTTTTAAGATTCTCATCAAAGATTTGGTTATCTCCAAGCAAATGTCTTAGAGCATAATCACTATTATAAAGAATTTCATCAATCACAGGGTTTTCACGATTCATGCCATAAAAATCAAAGATTTCCCTAGCTTCCCGTATTATGTAGTCAAATTCATTCATGAAAACAAGTGTGGCTAACTTTTTAGCTTTAGGATCTTTTATGACGGAGAACTCATAGAACAATCTTTGCAAGGTAGGATGAGTATGAATAAATCTAGTTTCAAGCTTCAAAACAAGTGCTGAAATAGCTTCCGCATAAGATTTAGTACTTTTAAGTATAGGAATAATATTAAGACTTAATTTTCTGACACAATTTAAAAATTCTTGTATATGTTCTTTTCCCATAAAATTACCTTGCCCCAAGACAAAAGTTTTGGCATTCAGATTACCCGTACGCTCCATTTTAGGAGTTAGGCCATTATCTGTTTCTACCATACCAAAGTCACTCATGGTGACAAGTTCAAGCAAATAAAAGATCTGACAAGAAAAATGGCGAACGAAAAAGAGGGCAAATAAAACGGCAAAATTTTGTGAAGTGGGGGAGAGAAAAAGGAGAGGCAAATGGAAAATAATGTAAATTGCGAGGAGATGAGATTTGTGATTAGGAACCTGGTTGATGTTGAAGATCTTCCCCGACAACGGCGCCAGAAATTGGCACATTAACGGGAGACTATCTTGGCATGATCGTCCCAGCAACGGCGCCAGGAATTCCTTTTGATTTATGCTAGAACTACGTCGGTATTTCCCCAAAGAGGAAGGGATGATGCAGTATAGCGATGGTAGGTATTTCCCTCAATGATGAGACCAAGGTTATCGAATCAGCAGGAGAACCTCCTGACACCACGTAAACAACACGTACACACAAATAACAAATACTCGCAACCCGACGTGTTAAAGGGGTTGTCAGTCCCTTTCAGGTACGGCGCCTCAAGATAGGCAAATAACGTGAGGTAAAAGTGGTAGATAGGATAAATAGATCACGAAACAAATAATTTGCAGCAAGGTATTTTTGTATTTTTGGTTTAATAGATCTGAAAATAAATGCAAAGGAAAATAGATCGCAAAGGCAAATATGAAGAAAAGAGACCCGGGGGCCATAGGTTTCACTAGTGGCTTCTCTCGAGAAAAATAGCAAACGGTGGGAAAACAATTACTGTTGGGTAATTGATAGAATTTTAAATAATCATGACGATATCCAGGCAATGATCATTATATAGGCATCACGTCCAAGATTAGTAGACCGACTCCTGTCCGCATCTACTAGTATTACTCCACACATCGACCGCTATCCAACATGCATCTAGGGTATTAAGTTTATGGAGAAACGGAGTAATGCAATAAGAACGATGACATGATGTAGACAACATCTATTTATGTAGAAATAGACCCCATCTTATTATCCTTAATAGCAACGATACATGCGTGTCATATCCTTTTCTGTCACTGGGATCAAGCATCGTAAGATCGAACCCATCACAAAGCACCTCTTCCCATTGCAAGATAAATAGATCAAGTTGGCCAAACAAAGCTCAAATATCGGAGAAGAAATACGATGCTATAAGCAATCATGCATATAAGAGATCAAAGAAACTCAAATAACTTTCATGGATAAAAACATAGAGCTGATCATAAACTCAAAGTTCATCGGATCCCAACAAACACACCGCAAAAAGGCTTACATCATATGGATCTCCAAGAGACCATTGTATTGATGATCAAGAGAGAGAGAGAGGAAGCCATCTAGCTACTAACTAAGGACCCGTAGGTCTACAAAGAACTACTCACGCATCATCGGAGAGGCACCAATGAAAGTGGTGAACCCCTCCGTGATGGTTTCTAGATTGGATCTGGTGTTTCTGAACTCTGCGGTGGTAAATTGATTTTCGTCGACTCCCCTAGGGTTTCTGGAATATTGGGGTATTTATAGAGCAAAGAGGCGGTTCAGGGGGCACCCGAGGTGGGCACAACCCACCTGGGCACGCCTGGGCCCCTAGGCGCGCTCTGGTGGGTGCTGCCCTCCTCGAGGCACCCCCAGGTGCAGCCCTGCCCACTGGATGTCTTCTGGCCCAAAAATATCCTCAAAAAGTTTCGATGCGTTTGGACTCAATTTGGTATTGATTTTCTGCGACGTAAAAAACATGCAGAAAACAGCAACTGGCACTGGGCACTATGTTAATAGGTTAGTAACAAAAAATGATACAAAATGACTATAAAATGATTGTAAAACATCCAAGAATGATAATATAATAGTATGGAACAATCAAAAATTATAGATATGTTGAAGACATATCAATGGAGCCGATAGGCAGGCATTGTCGGCGGCGGTGGCCATGTAGGGGTTCTCTCACTCGTGTGGGGGAGAAGCACCATGGGAGAGGGGCGTCCGACCAACAAAAAAACCATAGAAAGAGAGAAAATTTTGGTGTGGCTGGAGATTTCCTTCGTTCGATAAAAATCAATGGGAGGAGGGTCGAGGCTATGAGATGAAACGACGTACCAACTACCCATTTAGGCCTTAAAAGATAATGTCCATTTCGACGTAGTGATACATATAGAGCGCCGCGACTATATCTCGCTTTAAACAAGGTCGAACGATGTCTTGCGTCGAGCGAAAACAGTATCGGGCCGGCCCATTTAGTGTGCACAGGGTTAAAAGAATCGGGAAGAAAAGGGGTTTAGTGTGCACAGGGTTAGAAGAATCGGGAAGAAAAGGGATACAATCCAGGGATAGAACACTGGTCTCTGGGCTGAACGAGAGAGCTAGTAACCACTCGGCTAGCATCTGTTTGGTGCAAGTATAGTTGGGGGCGTCCTACATTAGGCAAAACGAGCTGGTTTTTCACTGTGTTTCCTGGTTTTTCTTTTTTTTTTTCTTTTTTTTCCCACCGGGTTTCTGCGTTTTTTCTTGTTTTTCTTGTTTTCATTGTTTTTTCTTTCTTTTATCGTTGTTTTTCTCTTTATTTCTTTCTCGGTTTCATGTGTTTTTTTTGTTCATGTTTTTTCGTTATTCTTCGATATAGTTTCTTTCTTTCTTTGGTGTTTCTGAAATACAAGTTTAACATTTTTTAAGAAATGATCAACATTTTTTTATACATATTAAATGTTTTTCAAATGCTTGATTAACATTTTTCAAATGCTTGTTCAACATTTTCTCAAATGCTTGATTAACATGATAAAAAAATTCATCGATGTTGAATTAACATTTTTCAAATACTAGTTCAACATTTTTTCAAATGCTTGATTAACATTTTTATATAGATGATCAAACAATTACAACATTTTTGTAATACATGGTCAACATTTCTTTATATACATTTAACAGTTTTCAAAAGCTTAACCAACATTTTCAAATATTCTTTCAACATTTTTTACATGCTTGATTAACATTTTATATACATGACAAAAAAATTCATCATGTTTATAATACATAGTTAACATTTTCTCTATAGACATTTAACATTTTTCAAATGCTTGATCAACATTTTTCTAATACCTATTCAACAAAATTACAACTGCTCAATTAACATTTTTCAAATACATGATCAATTTTTTATGCATTTTTCATCTACGTGATAAACATTTTATCCATACACATTTAACAATTTTCAAATGCTTTGTCGACATTTTTCAAATATATTTCATAGAGTGTTTTTCTTATATATATATATATATATATATATATATATATATATATATTAGAGTATTTTAAAGTGTGAACAAATTTTTTAAAAATAAATCGAAAATCTTAGTTAGAAAAAATACAGAAAAAAGGAGGCTGTGGCCTCCCGCGCTCCAGGGCCAGCCCATCTCGCTCCACTTCAGCGAGCGTCCCGTAGGTTTCGCTGAAGGCGGTTCCTATATGGCGCGCAGGTTGTTCACGTACGAGTTTTCTATCTCTTTTTCCGGTTTTTCTCCTTTTCCAATTTTGTTTTTATGTTTTTTGTTTTGCATTTCGGTTTTTCGTTTTCTTTTCTTTTCTTTTTTGATCTTTTATTCTCATATTTTTTAATATTTTTTTGTGAACATTTTCTTTAAAATTTTAAACATTTTTTTGAACACTAAATTCAAAATTATTCATGAAATTCAAAATTTGTTCATCATAATTTTTAAAAATTCATCAAATTCAAGAAATATTCATCCATTTTTTCAAAAAGTTCATGCGATTTTTAAGAAAGTGTTCTTGAATTGAGAATTTGTTCATCAATTTCAAAATGTTCATCTAATATAAAAAATATTCATCATGTTCAAAAGTCATTCATCATAATTTTTACAAATGTTCATAAAATATAAAAAAATCATCTATTTTTCAAAAATTTGATCCTATTTTTTCAAAAAAATTCTTGAGTTGAGAATTTGTTCATCAAGTTCAAAATTTGTTTGTTTGATAATTGTTTTTATAATTATCCAAATTCACGAACATTTTTTAAATTTGAGAACATTATTCGAATTCAGGGATATGTTTTGGCCCCATGATTTTTTTTTGAAATTCACATTCTTTGTAATTTTGGAAATCCTGAATTATTTAAAAAGAAAAATGAAAAATGAAAAATGAAACAAGAAAATTGCGGGCTCCCCGCTGCCGTTCGTCTAGGACGCGCTGCTCAAGCAGTACGGTGTGCGCACGGAGGCGGAGCTCGTGATGGAGCACATATGGTCGCTCCCCAAGTATAACAGCAGGAAGCAAGGGGGACATGAAGGAGAGGCTGAAGAACGCTTACTCCGCCGTCCGCAAGGAGTTCCGGGCCGTCTTCGAGATCGTCGAGACGCCGGTCCAGACCGAGGACGTCTTGGACGACGACGAGAGGAACCGGGTGTACGAGATGAAGGCCTCGACGTGGTACCAAGTGACCTACCACCCTAAATGGGTCCAGCGTTGGAGGGAGGCGCTGGAGCCCGACCGCGAGGAGGAGGAGGACGCGTCGGCGAGGCTTAGCTTCGCGTGGATCTCGGTCGAGCACCTGGTGCGGATCAAGATACGGTGCCGTGGGGGAGCGAAAGCAGGCCGCTGGAGGCCCATTGAGAGGCTCGCTGCCTACATGTTTGGGAGCCTTTGATGATGCTCTTGATGTGAAGAAGACCCCCTGCAGTACGTACTGAAGCAAGACCACTCTGCCCTTTGGCCATGCCATCTCATCTGAAGCACGCCTCACTTTGTTATCTGGGTTAATGTACCCCCAAGACGAACTTGTTGCAACTGTTGTACCCCCTAGTATTGCCAAACACACACCAGGAGTCAGATCTGACGACTTTAACGTCTTCGATGGCCAACCTCGATCCTGCCGGCGAAGATTCCCGACCAGAGGTGCATATGCCACCGTGTGGAGGCAGCGGCCTCCCCACGGGGGGGACGCAACAGTCCTCAGCTTAGGGACCGAAGGAGAAGAAAGACCTACAGCTGTGGTATCAGAATCTCTCAACTTGTTTTAACTCTCTTAGTACCAGGAATGTTCGTGTCCATGTGATTGATGAATAAAATGAAATATCTCCTTATTTATTAGCTCAAAACTAGCAAACCGTCCGTATTTGGCACATGCGACCTCAACCCATGTGGGGGTTGATATTGTGAGCGGGTGTCCGGTAGAGATTGCAGCGGGAAGGGAAAACCGAGAACGGAGAGAGACGAGCTGCAGATGGAGAGGGAAAGAGATAACGAAATCAGATGTGTGGTGGATAGCAATGAGAGTGAGTCCCGTGGCACGTGGCATGCCTAAGGAGGAAGCAAGCCCACCGCTTCGTGGTAACGATCTCAGTGCACGACCAGTCGCCCGCCAGATGTGAATTGTTTCCTAGTATATGTACACCGGAGCGCATGTCACCGGCAATTCGGATAAGCAGTAGAGTTGTGGGTGGAATGGTTGTGTGTTTGGCAATACTAGGGAGAGGGAATGGGAGTTTGCTCAGGGAGTAAACATGGAAAATTGATTTTAAACCTCATTCCTGTATTTGGCATGTGGTGGCAGTTTTTTTTTTTGAGAACTGCATGTGGTGGCAGCTAGAACTGAGAATTTAAGAGGGAGTTAACTTCACCTATTTGGTTGATGGGATTATAGCAGGGAAATAAAAAGCTTCTAACGAAGACCTCCTGCTCGACGCCCGGAGGCAACGCACAGGGGCTAGCACATCGGGCCGGTCCAAGAAGCGTCACTGGCTGTAGAAGGCCGTAACTGTAGTAACATGCATGTGTACTGTAGCAGTCTGTTTACTGTAGCGCTTTAGATCTTTTTTTTCTTCCTGGTTTGGATTCCTCCAGGGTCTTTTATTTTTGCACTTTTTTTTAAATTTTCTGTACTATAAACAAGTTTATATATACGGTGAATATTATTTCAAAATACACGTTGAACATACAATGAACATTTTCATAATAGACGGTGAAATTTTATTTATTATACTATGAACTATTTTAAATATATGATGAACATTTTTGAAAAATATGAATATATAACTTGAAAAAATTTCAAATATGTATTGAACATATTGTAATATATGTTGAACAATTTTCGAATACACATTGAACATTTGTATAATATATGCTGGATTTTTTTCAAGAACACAGTGAAAATTTGTATTATTCGTTTGAACATTGTTTAGTATACATTGAACATTTTATAATGCATGTGAATTTTGTAATATACCGTGAACATTTTCTTAATATACGATGAAATTTTTTTGTAACACGCAATTAACTTTGTATAATACACGAAAAAGGTAAAATAAAAAGGGAAATTGAAAAAACAGAGAACAAAATAAAAGAAATAGAAACATAAAAAAACAGAAAAGAAAAGAATCAATGAAGCTAACATGGGCCGACCCAACTTGGGGCGTCGGGAGGCCGAGCTTCAGAGAAGTCTGGACGTTTTGACACACACGAGCGTTAAATAGGATCTACCCTTCCAACGGTGCCTTTCTCTTGCGCATGTATATCCAACTAACACATTGTTACTTTTTCTTTGGCAATTTCCAATCCCCACTTCAATGACCATGGTTCCCTAGGAACAGATCTGAGGGAGTTTGGCCTCTTGATTCCCTTCTCCATTCCTCCTTAATTCCCATATCCAGACAATCAAATGATTTTAACCCTCTTTTCTTGTACAATAATACCTCCCACATTATTACTTTAACTACATTAGATAATTCAGTACCAATGAGATATAGATCTAGTTAAATATGGGGAGTTCTAAGCACCACTTGGGTATACTGCCTGTTATCTTTAGTTGAAGCATGCAAAAAACTAATTTTTAGTTAAAAGCAAGGATATTCTTGGTGATATGATTAAGCTCTTCACTACTAGGTGGACAATTTTACTAGGAAGTCTCAACATCTTGAGGTTGATTTGGTTAGGACTACCAAGCAATTGAAGGACACCATTCCCATTGTTGGGGAGGAAACTATAAGGTGCAAAGCAGCAAATGAAGTAATCAAGTCACTTAACGCACTAGTAAGATTGCATATGCATCATTGTATGACAAAAGCCCTTAGTCAATTTTCTTTATTATTGTTTAACTTATTAATGATAATATTCATGCACATAGAAGTCCATGGAATTAATTCTTTATTGTGACTTAGTCATCATATGGATGAGGGAAATACTTGGAGTTGTGATGAATATCTAGCTCATATTATATGTCAGCATAAGCTCAACTAAGTGTTTAACCGGAATGGCGTTATTTTTGGAATAGTGGATAATATTATGGTTTTAGTAATTTATAACCACTATATAGAATCAACCAACCCTTAGTCAATTCTCATTTGTGTTTATTTGGTTCAACATTTCATCATTTGGTTTCATCGATGCAACCGGAAGAGATCCATTGAGATCCAAGCAGAACAATGGTGGCAAGGGAACATGACAAGGGTATGCAAACAATACAATGTCTTCATGGTTGACAAGGATATTATTGTATAGTGACGGTATGCTACTCCAGCTTCACAAGATAACGTTTCCACCCCCACCACACACTTGTCTGAAACATCATCGACGTACCTCGCGCTGCCTGTCATTATACTGGTTGATCCAAGTGTGCTCAGTGTGCTGCTTGATTTGGGTATCGTGGATACTCTATCGATGGAGGTAAAGAGAAGTGTAAGAGAGAGATCCTGGTGGGGAGGAACATCAGCTGGTCCATTCGCCATCTTGCAGTGAGTTTTGTTTGTTGTTCTCCGCTTAAATTTGTGTTCTTGTAATCGTGGTAGTACTCTCTTGGATGTTAAAACACTAATGTAGGAGAACAACATGCATGGATTTGTCATGTAGTGAATTTTCTGTATTCTTTAAAGAGCATGAAAAGCTTTGCACATCTTAGCATTAAGAAGAAAATCACATTCATAGATACAACATCACCCTTGCAAGGTTCTTAATTTTTAGCTTAAATTATTTGCTACTTTTCAGTTTCCCCAGCTATTTCATCATGACTTCTACAAGCCCCTTTCGCAAAACAGACAATGACAGCTAGCTAATAATAATCATGCAAAAACAAGTGAATGGCTATGGATCCTACTAGTGGAAATGCTATCAGTCCAGACAAGTCGGGAGGCTTGTGAACCTAGTCCCTAGAACAATGCCAAACATCAAGTACATGTTCGAACATAGGAACAAACAAGATCTTAAAAGACATAAGAAGCTACTGCTTCGAACTATGACATATGCTTAACACTTAGTTTCAATGTAGGAATGATAGAAAAGTAGAAACATTACACTACTTATTAATGCATGGTTCAATCTCTGCTTGATGATAGAGGAATACCTTGCCCTCTCCATCTAGCATTCCAATGCACGCATGATATAGAAGAAAAGAAACATTACAATACTCATAACACATGGTTCATCAGAGGAATAATTTTCCCTCTCCATCCAGCGTTCATTATTACAGTACTAGGATACTTAGATGTTTAGACACTCAACCAAATTTGCCAAAATACTTATGACAACCCCATACTTAAGCATAAGCATTTACTTCTCTCTAGAGATTTGGCATGTTTCGGTACTTGGAATAGCCTCATAGCCAGCAAACACTACAAAAAAAATACACTTCCGTGATGATACGTGTTTGTCACAGTAGGTCGCGTTTTTTGTCATGCATGTACATCCATGACAAAGTTATGACAGAATCAAGATAGTCATACCTGTGTTGTCGTAGAAGTGTTCGATGACATTACCAAAATTATCATCACGGAAGTGTCCACTTCCATGACGATAAATCGCGCGTCACAGAACTGCTTTCGTCAAGGGTGACCGACACGTGGCATCCACTATAACGGAACTCCGTTAAGCTATCAGGGCGGGTTTTGGATCCGATAACCCCTTAACAGCCCCGACCGATGGGGATTTTCCACGTGTAAAATCATCATTGGCTGGAGGAAACATGTGTCGGCTCACCGTTGGGACAGATGTCATCCACTCATTGGACAGAAGGCGCCTATGATACGTCGACACGTGGCATGGCCCAACAGAGGCCCATTCCTGTGAAAAGGCCGCCCCGTTTGACTTGGTCAAAAGGTGGCGAGCCGGCCCATGGAAAGCCTGTTAACGGCCTATTCGCATATAGCCCATTTACAGCCCGCTAACCCAAGGCCCGTTACACCCTATCCGAATTAGGCCCAGTAGCGTCATCTGGGCCATCCAATATGATTCCAGCCCGTTTTCACTTCTGGCCCATGTATGGCCCATGACGTCTTTCAGCCCATATGAGGCCCTATGTAACTCTTGGCCTATTAACGACCCGTGGTGAAACTGGCCCGCAATGAACAGTGTATCACTTTACACCCACTAACGGCCGGTGGTGAAACTGGCCCGTAATGAACAGTATATCACTTATACACATTAATGGCCCATTATTCAGTTGGACCGTTTCCAGCAAATGTTATCTTTCGGCCTTCTCAGAGCCTATTTATTCTTGGGCTCATTTCCAGCATTCGTTTACTTATGGCCCGTTACTGTCATTTTCTGCTTGTGGGCCAAATTCAGCCCGTGGTTACATCAGCCCGTTTGTGGTCCGTTAATACGTTGGGCTGTTTTCATAGCGTCATCAAATACGGCCTATTAATGATGGCCCGTTAT